TAAACTATGTATGTAAGTATCTTTTTCTTCCCAGACTGACCGAGTTCCTGTTCTCCAACAAAGACATCATCTTCGTCCCCTACGACACGAGGCAGCGCCGACTGAGGCGCATCTTCCACAGCGTGATGGGCGTGTACGGGGAGGGGGCGGAGCGGTTTGAGAGCCTGGTCCTGGGGGAGCTGGGGCTGATGGTGGACGAGCTGAGGGGGTGTGCCGGACGTGACGTCAGGATGGACGAGGTCCTGGGGAAGCCGCTAAAGAACATTCTCTGCATGTTGGTGGGTCATACGAATTATTGTGGTGTCGGTGGCCTAGTGGTTAAGCTCTCAGACTCGCAACCGTAAGGTCGTGGGTTCGAATCCCGTCAGGGGCCCGACATTGTGTCCTTGGGAAAGGCACTTTGCACAAATTTTCCTCACTTCGCCCAGGTGGAAATGGGTACCCGGCTATAGACAGTGAACAATTTTGTCACTTTGATAGTGTTTGAGAGCCTGAAATTCGCAGCTTGCACTGTATACTTCTGCGAAGCCGGGAATGTTTCCAAGTGTTCTCAAAGGGTCTGCTGGGGTAATAATAGTTGTAAAGCGCATAGAGCATGTTCTTAAGCATGGATATGCACTATATAAATGCACTTATTATTATTATTAGATATCTTTTAGCAGTTCACAAGAGTATGACAAAATAAAAAAAGAAGTAAAGGAAAATGACGATAATAAGGATAAGGAAAGAGAAAGGAACAGCTCAAGAACATTCCCTTCTCGTTGGTGGGTTAGACGGATTATAGTTATCTTTTAGTTTTAGTAGAGGTTTTACGGCGCTCGCGACTGCATAAGGTCATATGAGCGCCGAGGGGTGGATGTCAACAGAGAAGTACAAACGGGGAATCAGACTTACTCTGCTCACCTCTCTATCTAGCTCCAACAGCTCAAAGTCTGCTTCAACTATCAAGGCACCCCGGAAATAGCAGTTCACAAGAAGGGGACAAGAATATAAAAGAAGTAGAGGACAAATGACGATAGTATGGATGTGAAAAGAGAAAGCAGCGGTTCTACCTATGTTGTTTCGACACAATATGAGAATGATATTAATAAATCAGCTCATTTACTGTTCTGCTGTGCATGAGAACAAGTTAATATCCCCCCTTTGAGGATGCCTAAAGACACTTCAGACAGTGGCACTGCCCTTGGGTTGGGGGGGGGGGAACTGAATATCTGTCGGATTTTGAATCAGAGTTCTTATGGTACCTCAAAATTACTAAGTTCTATTTCTTGAATACCTAGTTTTGGGGAAATTTGGCGTAAAACTTTTGAGTTTCTCAAAATGTCAAGCTCTTTCGAATGTAATTCTTTGAATATCTTGAAAACAACTAAGAATAATCTTACGACTTTGATAAAGCAGATAGAGCATTTGCTCTCTGGCCTCTCGGTTGTAATATTATTTCAAAATGGCCAAACATGTCAGATAGAACTTAGTAATTCTGAGGTAACGCTTTGTAGAAGAGAACGTAGAAGAAAACTTTGTCGAGAGAGGACTTTGTAGAAGGGGACTTTGTAGAAGGGGACTTTGTAGAAGGGGACTTTGTAGAAGGGGACTTTGTAGAAGAGAACGTTGAAGAAAACTTTGTCGAGAGAGGTATTGGTAGAAGAGATCTTTGATGTAGAGAATTTTGCAGAAGAAAACTTTGTAGAGACATAAATTTCTGGAAGAGAAATTTGTAAAATATAAATTTGTAAGACAATGGGATACTGGTTCAGTTCATTGTATGAAAACCTAAGTGGAGTTTAGATTCTTTTTTTTAACGGGCTGTAAGTATTGAAAGCACTCACCTGGATTTTATTCGCTGTATTTTTTTAATTTAAAAAATACAGAGGGCTTTTTTAACAATTAGCATCTTCAGTGTTGCCCGTGTGGGATTCTCCATTTCGGGAGTAAATCTTGGACAAGCTAGAGCTGTCCACAAAATACTCTTAAAGACAAATTTCAATCCAAAACATGGCATTGTCATAACTATGAACCTGACATCACAAAACATACTCACATCTAGCTTTGCCTGTGGTCTAGCAGTTAGGCACTTCGCAGTCGCATGCAGAAAAGCCTGAGTTCGATTCCCAGATACGAAGAATTTTAAAAAGCACACCTTTTAAATGACTTATATTGTGTCGATGGGGACGTCAAACATCTATATTAAAAATATATTTATTTTTAAACTGACGTTTCACAGTAATGAATAACTAGTGTTTGGTCAACAGTTCTCTTCTGCTATAAATGCTGGACAATCATTAAAGACAGAGAAACTAATAATTATAGAAGCAAGGGAAATGTGGTTTCTTAGGAGATTATAGAGAATTTAATTAAAGGAAAAGAGAAACTGTTCCAGAAGACACGTTGGACATAGTTATTTTATAATGTCATAATGTTAACGTTCTCAAGTTTCCATCGATACAACAATGGAAGGTGATGATGATGATGATGATGATGATGATGATGATGATGATGATGATGATTGTGATGATGATGATGATGTTGATGCTGATGCTGATGCTGATGCTGATGCTGATGCTGATGCTGATGATGATGATGATGATGATGATGATGATGATGATGATGATGATGATGATGATGATGATGATGAAACCTCAATGTCTGCCCCTCTCTCCAGCTGCTCGGGGAGCGGCCACACACCACCGACCACGTGGAGATCATGGAGCGGTTTGACTTCCGCGCCAACAAAATCTTCACGACCAAAGTCCAGCTGGCCTTGACCTTATTCCCGTTCCTGTGGTGGGTTCCCAACAAGTACCGGACGTACCTGGACCAGGCGGGAGACAGCAGACGAGACGTCCAGAAACTCATCACTGACCACCGGGTGAGTACCGCCTTCTTTTCTCTGGATACGGTACCTAGATACATGGAAGTGAAAAGATATATGTTTAACGCCCATATCAACACTACTAGGTTATTTAAGAAGCGCGACCTCCGAGTTTAAAGTCCATCTCCGAAAGGACAGAGCCAAACAGGAATTTTGTATAAAATGCCTTTCCTAGGCAGACAACATTGGACCAAGCTGAGGTTCGAACCACCTGGAAGTGTCATATCTGACTCAGAGGCTGACGTGTAATGACCCTCCATCTTTCACGGTCGCGAGCTGCCGTTACAATTTCTGCCATATCCAGTCCTGTCCATGTTCTTATGTTGTCCATCAATGTAATACTTTGCCTTCACTATACAATAATAGAACATTTATGATGTCACTGTCAGTGATGCCATAATCCTCTTTCTGGACTCATGATCGTGAGATTGCAGGTTCAGGGATTCGAGCCTCAGCTCGGCCCTTCGTTGTGTTCTTGGGAAAGGCATTTTACACAAATTTCCCACTTGTCTTGGTCCTTTCAGACATGGACGTTAAACTCTCAAATAACCTGAGAGTGTTGATAAAGGCTTTAAACCTATACCATTTCACCATTTCACCATAATTGTCGCAGATCATAGGGGCTCTGTATGATAGAGAGTCTCATCAGGTGCCTCCACTTTTCACGGATTTTTTGCCAGGGCCTGAGTTTGATCAAATAATTTCCCCGTCCACTTCGCAATGTTTTCCGTCCACCTCTTCCTTTGCCTTCCTCTCCTTCTCCTCCCCCGCACAGCTCCCTGAAGAATGGTCTCAGATAGACCACACGATCTTGTTACATAGGCATACCATTTATCAGCTTTCTTCGTTTCACAATGGACAGCAAGTCATCATCATCATCCACTGCCAGATCTGCAACAGACATGGGCGATCATGATTTTCCATTCATTCCTTTGCTCGGATGCTCTAAAAAAAAGCTACGTTTCCCTGATCTTTCCCAGTTACCCATTTGTTTAGGTCCCCTAAGTATG